TAAATAGATAGATAGATAGATAGATAGATAGATAGATAGATAGATAGATAGATAGATAGAATGGATTAGAGAGGGACCTTCCATGTGTGCATGTGTAAACATTGGTAACACATACAGCATTCTTTTCCTATACAATCCTATGGGCAGAAGCTGGGCTCCCAGGTGCCAGTACAGCTGTATTTGCGCCCATGTGCATGAGACCTAAAAATACATGCTAAAATGATGGTAGAGAGAGATATGGTCTCTGGCTGACCCTGATAAAACATGATCTATAGATGTAGTATTATTAAACAAATACTTTGGGGAAAAAACAGATTATTGAAACCTCCACTTTGCTCAGTGCTTTATTAATAGCTGTTGTGTCCATGGCAAGCAATTCCAGCAGATTTCTGGAGAAAGTTATGACATGAGAACAAACATCTGTGTGGGTGTTGTGGTCACTTCTTTCCATCGTACTTGTGGTTGAAAACAAGCAGCCATGTGCTGGATTACACACATTATGCCCTGATTGTACAATTTACTTTTGTATGACCAGCAACTATGTAGTGTGAAGGCCTTGCATGGATTGCTTTGGTAGACCTTCATGGTACACAGTTGTTGGTACATGTAAGGAAAATGCACAGAGGTTGTACTGTACAATCAGTTAATGGAATGCCCATCTTAATGTCAATTGAACAGCAAAATTACAAATTTGGTGAGCGCCTTTATTAAACAGACCTACACATCAAATAAAAGAGGGACAGTTGTGAAGAGAGGGAACATTGGAGGCTGTGATGGGAGGCCACAAGTGTCATTTATTTTAAACAGAGACACAAATATAAACATCTGTGTGGATATAAGAAACAATAGCCATACATGTCCTTTCCTCCACGACAGAATATGGTGTATAAACCAATATCTACAGCAATGGGAGCTCATGAAAAGCACTAATACAGTATGTCTTTATGTGGCTGCTGCTGTGTTTCTAATGCCATGCAGGTTCTTAGCAGAGGCTGTTATGCATCTTATAGGCCACGTTTTCTGAACGTTTTCCATCAGCTGGAAATTCTTTAACTTAAATATTCTGAGTAGAAACATGTGGGAAACATGCAAAAATAAATAGAATAATCCTTAGAAATGCCTGGAATGTTATGGGAGTCCAGAATAATACAGATCGACAGATTCCTAACGCTACTGTATCTGCTGGCGTCTTCCATGCGAGTGATGCTGATGTACAAACAAACACACTGATTCACTAAAGGCTCTAACACACTGGAGATCGGTTGGCCTGCTGTATAACATTGTACTTTACTAAGCCACTATTTACACCTTAGCATTGTAGCACGTCCCCCAATGCCTGCCTGATTGGACAATCAATTTATTAGATAGAGGTAGGTCCTCATTATTAGTTATGGAAAATCTAAAGTTATTGTACTGTTTATGGTGACCATAACACTCATAATTTGAAACATAAACAGTGAGAATCTCATCTCCCAGGTGATGATGATGAGCAGTTGAAGGTGATCACTCTCATACAGGTAAATCCTCCAGCTTATTGGAAAGTCTTATTTGGGAGCAGGTCTGATGATTGACTTTCCAGTATAGGAGTGAGGAAATGACAGGCCACAGTGCTCTAATATTTGGGCAAATATATTACCATTCTCAGGGATTATGTCTGCTTGTCTATGGTCATCCTACAAATTGCAATTATGTCTTATGGCCTGTTAGCAGTGTGCAGTTTTTTAAGAGTTTAGGGTTCAGGCAACTGAAAAGTTAGCTATTAGGGAATGCTGTACTTATAATGGACACATCACAACATAAAGACAGTGTGAGGTCTGCATGATTTACACTTATTCATGGCATCAGCTCTACACTGGAAGTTACCAATGTCAAGACCCTATGTACAACTGAGTGGGCATGGAGTGATGTAAATGATTTAATATTCCCTATGAAGTGCTAACTGTATAAATGAATATGACAGAATAATGATTTGGTTCTCTAGCTGGGAAAGAACTGCAAGTCCCAGGTCTATTTGCTAATCATGGGTAGCATTGCTTTCTATGACTTATAGTTCCTCCATCTAGAAAACCTAGGTGTTGCTGTCTGTTTTAGGGGTACTGCTGCTGCACCAGAACTATAATGTGGTGAAATGAGCAAACAGTATTTAACAGACTGTCTACCTGTTACTAGCTTATGGTGTGTGTATATCCATATATACACACACACACACACACACACACACACAAATACAGTATAGCATTAGTATTGTGTTAGCCATCAATTAGCGATACACTTAACTGGCTATAATACATTGGGGAGAATAGATCAAAACTGGAGCAGACAAAATATGGAGATTTGCACTGCAACCAGTCAGCTTCTGTCTCATTTTCAAATCTTACCTGAGCAAACTGAAGAGAGATGCTGATTGGTTGCCATGGGCAACTGCTCCAGAATTTGCCTGCTCCAGTTTTAACCCTCCCCCCACCATTGTGTATAAAGCCTGACAAAGGGATCTAAGGAACCCGAAAAGCTTGCATCTATAATAGAAAGTCAATAAAGTACATCACCTAAACTCCACACTGTTTACATTACAGTAATATCCCATAATTATGTATGTAATATCCCATAATTGGGTGATTTCATTGAAGTATTACCTGGCTCTGTGTATCTGTAGTCACATCAAACAGCCTATGACAACAAGGGGATTTTAAAATGATACATTTCTCTTTGCCTAAATGACTGTTTGAATTGAAGACAGGTTCCCCAGAACAGGTATCGTATATTATTTAGAGTTAGACAGAATAGGATAGATATCCCCCCAAGGTGCTTGCAATGGAGTCATATGACTTACCACATAACATCTTACCATTTATTATTACCTGTGACTGGTCTGTACATCAACCGGCCACACATACACTTTCCCTGAACATTTTAATGTACTCCAATATTGTAAAACAAACACACAAGTTAAAAATAAGGATTTTTTATTATGTACACATAAACAAAGTAACAACTTTTATAAAAAGTCTTCTTTTCTAAAACAGGAAACAGTAGTTCCAAGACATTATTCTCTACTTTAGAGAGTGGGATAATTCTGGGGTCATTGCCACAGATTAAGGCATCTATGTCCTTACAAAATATAAGATTTCCACATGAAAGCATAAAACGCATACTGTTTACAAAAATATATACACAGCTCAAATGAGTTATTTTCTTTCAGTAACAGAAATTCAAGTTGATATAGTACTCAGGGGTATAATGGCTATTTTGGTCCGCAATGTGTTCAGGAATGTCATAAAAAAATATATGCAGGGTGACAAGGACCATGTAATAAAGACTTGGTATAATCAGTAAGATTGTAAATGGTTATAAAGTAAAAATGGAATTTGATCAAAGTTCATTGGGGTCACTTGTGGAATCAATACTTTCTGTTGATCTTGAAAAGTTTTTTTGAGGAATAAAGTTTTTTTTTTAATAGGAATGTATCTTGATTGCCGGATTTGAAAGGGTTAAAAATCTTGCACGTTGGATTCTGATGCTTCATGGAAAGAACTTTTTTTCAAGAGTTTCCCACACCTGCAGAAAGAGAAATATGCATGTATATAAATGTGAGTCAGAGCAAGGGAGGGGAGCAGACTGAGCGGCGCCGGAGAGGAAGCTAGCACCGCCCCTGGGGCTTACAAGAGCCAGCCTCTGTTAATTACCACCAAGCTTCCTACTCAATGCTCTCTCTGCTACGCCTAGTGACGTCACACAGCACTTCTACTCTACTACAACTTTCTGATGGGAGACTACAGGGGTCTGTTTAGAAATGTTTTTACATAAGATTCACAGGACCTTCACCCACAATCCACACTAATTTTCTAAAAAGTGTGTCCCTTGTGTGACGGGATTCACACATTTATCTCAATGGATTCAATGAGAAAGTGAGTAAATTCTAGTTGAATGTTGTCTTATAAATAGACTTTTATGCATTCATAATCAAGTCATCATCTGGGCTGTTCCTTGTCTTTTTAGCTTTAAACTAAAACAGTGTAATACTAATAGTATATTCTATTAATATAATAT